GGTTTCTAACTAAACCTAATTAGAATTTGCTAATTAAACACACTTTGGTTAAATGATCGATTTTTAGGCTAACTTTGGGAGAGCATATCTCCCTCCAAAGAGGTACTATAGGGATGTGCCTTATATCATTTTGAAGATTGTGATGTTAGCTATGTGGTATTAAAATTTGGTATCATTTGAAGATGTATAGCATTCTGTAGGTTTGATTGAGTGGAAACTGCCCTGGGAGGCCATGTGCAGGGCTGTACATGGCTGCAACTTCCATGAATTGTTTCTCTCTCAGTTCTTACTCAAATTAGGCTCATAATATGTCAAATTAAAGCTAAATGTGTCTATTTATCTGCTTAAAAATTTGAGAGAAATTAGTTTAGTGAATTTTTCATAATGACAGAAATAGTAAGGGATGTTTAGGGCTTTGTTCGGAGTTGGCAGACAGTTTTACTTGTCCAACTTCAAATGGTGATAACCGGAGATAGAAAACTCCAAATGAGGTATGTGATACCTTGTTGGAAAGGTAATTGAGTCTAGATTAACATAGTAAAAGATGAGAATTTTATAACAAGTGGGCTACGCACATTGGCTGGAAAACAGAAGCATGTATAGTTATAGGAAAATTGTAAAAGTGAGATTTAGGCTAAGTGGGCTTATTGGAACCCTTTAGTAACTTATAATAAGTATATATATGGCTTGGATGAGTGAAAATAATCTAAGTTACCTAAGTGAGCCTAGAATGTGATTCTATGTTATGTAAATGATTGAAGATTGAGGTTGAATGTAATAATGCACTAAAATAAGTAATTATGTAATAATTGGTCTAGACTTGTAATGGGCATATTATTGGCATGTAAGAATGGAATGTGGAATCATTAAGTGATTGAGTATTAATGATGTAAATGATTCCTGCTCTAGGTTTGCCTAGAGGATTTGGTACTTGAGGGTTGATTGGAGCATACGTATTTTTCTGTTGGATTTGGTACTTGAGGGTTGATTGGAGCATACGTATTTTACTGTTGGAGTTGGAGTTGGGCTTGAGATAAGCTCAGTGAGGTAAGCTCCTAGTTATAGTTGCATCCTCTCTTGTGGCCCTACCATGATGGTGGGCATTATGGTTGTATTGTATGAAAGTAAGTGGTATAATGTATATGTGCATTCATTCACATTCATATAGATGTTATATGATATTGATGTTATGATGATGCACTGATGATATATGTTATGAGGATCCTGGCCAGTGATCATGGTATGTAGGCTGCCTATGACTTGACTCTGGGAGCTATTTCATACAGAGGTTGTGTTAACTGTCTATGGCTTGACCCTGGAGTCACACAGGTGTAACTGTCTATGGCTTTGACCCTGAGGTTACACAAGGATGATATGATGATGCTATGTTTATGTTGTATGCCTGTATTATATGCTTTATATCTGACTTGTCATGCAGGAAGTGGGCTCAGGGGATTAGAGGATCCTCTATGAACCTTGAGCTTACTGAGATGCGTTATCTCACCCCGTTTGAGGACATCATTTCAGGTACTCAGAGTAATGATGATACTTCTAGGGGCAAGGCCCCTGCCTTAGAGTAGTGGATGACGCTGCTGATTTATCTTTATTATGTTTAGACTGTATGATGGCATGTATATTTATTAAGATGCTTAATTGTCTTATGTTGAGATTATATGATGTATTTATTTAGGCTCATGACGGTATGATTGGAGCCATGGATTATTTACTGATGCTTAGACGTTTGGAAATTTATGTAGACTTGATGTGTGTATTCAGTTAATTGGGCATTGAGCCATATTGTTTGTATTGACCCATTGAGGAGATTGCAATCCGTGTGGGACTCGCAAGCTGTCTGTTTAATTATTGTATCTATCAGGTTGTTGAATGTGTGGGACTTATGTTCCCAGTTATTCGAAATACAACCGTTATGTTGTCCGTTAGACTCCGTCAGGAATAACACTTGATGTCATATCCGGATGGTCAACGGCCACTAGTGATGGCCAATGGTTTTTAATTAGTAGACTTAGATGTTAATGTTACGCTAATGCAATATATCAGATGAACGTTTTGAAAATATTAATTTAGAAAATATTTTGAAAAAAGTTCACTCGTATTTTTGTAAGACGTTTTATTATGTTTTTAAAATAAAGTCTTTCGCTGTGTATGTTAAATATCATGTATGCTAACAACCGGAGTACTACAGGATGTTATATGAATCATTGGTGATAATTTTATAGCTAGTTATTCCAAAAAAGAATTCTCTCTTTTTCTTTATTACCATTAATTTATATTTGTATGATCATGATTTTCTCACATGATATAATCATGTTAAATAATACATGAGAGGATCTACTCTCCATCATTATAGATTTTGATTCATTTCTTTTATTTTTTATTTTTGGGGTTATGTCTTAACAAGTTAGAATTCTTACCAAAATAAATAGCACTCGCTATCACGACATAATACATAATGCTCTTGCTTAATAAAAAAAAAATCTGCATCCATAATAATTCATCAGTTGCAGTTAACTAAACATATACACATATTTGTTGTTGTATCGCTAATCATACGATGACATGTGACCGTAAAAAATTTTCACCTAGAAAATGTCATAGAGAATTAGACAATATTGAAGGAACATTGCACACATTTTACATAATTTATGAAAACAATGCATATAGATATTCCTAATAAATTATTCCTAATAAATTATTCAGCATACATGTAAATTTTTTTAAGACATTATTGATGAACTTTCATGACAAATATGATGAGTTGTTCAAAATAAAACTATCATTGTAAAAAAATGAAATTATCTCGAGCGTAATTATGAAAAATTTATACAGATTAGCTATGGTGCTTATCAAAAAATTATTAGTTATCACATTTAAGACACCGAAGATTCTTAGGGTGTGTTTGATTGGAGGATTTTGATGAGATAGATACGCAATTGAGAAGTGAGATTGTTTAATCACCATGTTTGGTTTAACGGTTTCCTTGCTTGCCTACCAAAATCATATAGCCAGCAACCGGCGTTTGCATGTCATTTTGATCAAAATAGCCGGCCAACATAAACCCACTTGACATGTGGTATTGTCAAATATCTACCTAAATGGTAAGTGCGTCTACTAACCAGATGACCAGCGTACCCCCTGATTTGGTGTGGTGGCTGTATGATTGTGGATCAGTGAAGGGAGGATGATGTGGGTTTGTGGTGGCTGTTAATGGAGGGCGGTTCGGTGATGGTGATGGTGGTCGGTTGTGAGCTTGTGGGTTTTGTAAAAAAAATTGGTGAAGTGTGGATGGTGATGGGTTTGACCGGCGGTGGTTATGGAATTGGGTTCCTTGATTTGAAGATGGCTGGTTCGGTGGTCCGAAGGTGGTTGTGGGTACGGGTTGGACCGATTTGGTCTTCAAATGAGGATGTGTTTTTGGGTCACTGATGGTGTGTGGTGGTGGCTGAGGAGGTTGGCTGGAGTTTGTGAAGGCTGATGGCTATGGTGGTCCGAAGATAGAGGTTGGGGTTTCTCGGTTGGACAACCGCGATGGTGATTGTGGGTTGTGAAGAAGGAGATGGGACGATGGATGTGGTGTAGTCGTGGCTGGCTTGAATCGGTGAGGGAGGTTGTGGACAATGCCTTATTCAAAATACTTTAAAAACGGGGTTATTTTCGTAAAAACAACTTTTTTTTCCATTTATATTTTACCTACACCCAAACATAGACTTTATAAAAGTTACCTAATTTCCCCATCAAAATTTTATCCAACCAAACAACTTTTTTTACATTTTTCTACTAAACGCCTCCTTAAAAGAAAAGTCATTCCTATAAATGTTATAATTCCTCGTTGAAGAACAAATTCCTTCATGGATGAAGACGTAGAGGTAGACATGTTGATGTACAATCAACTTGATATATAATATATGGGAAATAAATGTATCATGTTGTAAGAAATTGATTGTGTCATGCTATAGACACAATCAATATGGATCCTATCATTTTTTTTTTTTTTAAAATGGTGGAGTTCACATTGATTGTGTCTATAGCATGACACAATCAATTTCCTACAACATGATATATCTATTTCTCATATATATATATATATATATATATAATATATGTAAAGGACTAAAATAATAATTTAGTTAATATTCTTGTTCTCGTTTTGCACATGGGCAAGAAAAAAAAAAAACTTTCCATTTCCCGAATCTCGAGACAAAAAAGGCTTGTAGGAAAAAAACAGCAAAATGGTAAAAGAGAAAAGTGAAAAAAGGGACAATCCAAAAAAGAGCACACACATTGCTTGGGCTATAAGCAGTAGTTTTCGTTTCACAAACGCCAAAGGGACTTATTTGTGATTCACAACCTAAACGAGGGCAAATAATGTAAATTCACAATTTTATTTTCAGTGGATGAATGTATTGAGTGATAAATGTGACTAGTGGATCTGCATCTGAACGATGATAGCTCAATTGATGTGAATAATTGGTTCGATTCCCATTAATATTAATATTATCTTAGGAATAGATATAAAATCTTAATCATTGTCGTGTATCGCATTTGGGATCAATTTCTTAGTTGGAAAAAATGTGACCCGTAGGACTTGAAATATTTTCTTAAACTACATAAAGAAATGCTTGAGTAGCCTATAGGAAAAAAAAAAAAATTCCAAACTCAGCAAAATAGTAAAGAGAAAAGTGAAAAAAGAACGATCCAATAAGAGTATGGTAGTGTAGTACTGTAGCAGTTTACGTTTCGCCAACATTAAAGGGACTTATTTGTGATACACAGACAATACAAGGGCGAATTACGTAATTTCACAACCACTCGAACCCACGGTCACTCACCTGTTCCCTAACACGCGCACCAACACTGCACCGAGATCCAAATATCCCACCGTTCCGGTTACGAAACTACCAAAATACCCACACTCACTCACTTTATATATATATATATTAATCCAAAATCACCACGCAACCATTTCTTATTTGCGAATCATCATCACTCCCAAGAAGCTCACACACGCACACGGAAGAACTTCCAGTATCGGAACAACAAGAAGAAGTAGTAGTTGAAGCTGGATTGTTAAGAAGGCAATGCCTTGCTCTTCCTTTGGTTCTAACGTTGGTGGTGGTGATTGCAACAACAACAACAACAACAGCAATAACAAGAAGGATGGTTCTTCTCTCTCTGATTTCAAGCTGAACGAATCCACCTTTTTGGCTTCACTCATGCCGAAGAAAGAGATTGGTGCCGATCGATTCCTCGATGCTCATCCTGAATACGATGGCCGCGGTTCTCTTATCGCTATCTTCGGTACCCGACCCGTTGACTCTTCTTTCACTACTCATTTTTCTTACTGTTTTTTGATTTTTTTTCGATTGTTAGATGTTAATAAATGAAAATAATCACGAGTTAATGAGTGTTTAGTTTAGTGCATGTTTGGATTAGTTTATTTTGCGGTTAAAATATGTTTAATTAAAATATTAATTGAAGGCGAGCCTTCTCAGTTCTCACAACTACTAGTGTTGTAGCCATGATGTAGCGCAGAGCTTTACAATACAGTTTTTTTTTTTTTTTTTTTTTAAATATTTATTGAGCTTTTGAATAAAGAACATAAGAAAAATGCCATTTTTTTAAGATTAATCACAACCAAACATGCATTTAATCTCTTTGTTTGAATGGTTTTCTCCTCTGCTTTCGAGTTAATTATGCAATTGTTTTGCATGAGGAAAATTAGTGAACTATGTAGAAATTCATTGTGAATTCGGAAAAAAAAAAGTGCTGAAATTTATTGGAGTTCGTAATTGTTGGAATAGAAAGTAAAGTAGTTGTCTCCATTTGTAATAGCATATGGTTTGGCTATTGATGTAAGTAAACACGAGTTTAGTGCAAAGAAGAGCGATGGAATTGAAAGCAGATAATCTGGTGTGTTGAACTGATAGCTGGTTGAAAATGGATTGGTTGGGCTAATGGATTATTTTTAGTGTTTTAGAAAGTTTTTTTTTTTTTATGAGGAATATTGGTGATTAACCTTTTTGTGTTGTGTCGATATTCATATATTAGGGATTTGTTGCCTTTGAATCTTTATTTGGTTTTACTCAATTTAAGTGATGAAGATACATGCGTGCTGTGTACATCATGAGGGCTATGCAAACACAGACTAAGCTTGCATTTTTACACGTCTTTACTTAGGCTGACACTTAGTCATAATTTTTATTTTTTCCGGGGGGGGGGGGGTATGTTCATTTTTCTCTGTAGAGTGTAGTGTCCTTCCATGAAATCTAACTTGCTTCCATTTATGAATTATAAATTTTGCATTTTTACACAGACTAAGATTTTTTAGTTGCAATAACTATGTTGCTTGGTGCCCATCTAATTTGGTGCTACTAAAATGTTTTAGAGTAATAATTATGTTGCTTGTATTCTTATGTTTGTTTTTGTTATGCTATAGTTGGATGTGTTTGCGGGTTATATGACATACTTGTTCATTCATTAGATCTTCTTGTTTATAGATTCTGGTGTAGACCCGGCTGCTGCTGGATTACAGGTTACGTCAGATGGGAAACCAAAAGTTCTTGATGTCATTGATTGGTAAATATAAACTTACTTCATGTTGGATTTTTATCTTATAATTGTTTTGAGTACCAATAAATATATGATACCTTTTCGTTCTTCAGCACTGGGAGTGGAGATGTTGATACCTCAAAGGTGGTGAAGGCTGATGCTGATGGTCGTATTTGTGGGGCATCAGGTTAGTGATAGGGAATACTAAGCGCCTGTAAATAGAAACAATTATGGTGAGACATTTCTTAGTATATTGTAGTAGTTGCTTCATAAAAGAAAACTACATGCACAGCTTATGATGAACTAGCTCCTTGTCTAGGGTTGAAGCTTGATCATTGTTATTATTTTTGAATAGCCTAAAGAAAAATAATGCTATACATATTAGTAAAATTATATTAAACTTAGCCAAAAAATAAAAGAAAAATAATGAATAATTATATATTACATACCAACCTGAAGAGATAAAAGAACAAAAATTTATAGTTGTCCTTTAAGAGAGTTGTGCCTGTCTTTTGACTTTGAGAATTTCTTTACCTCTTTATGCTGGGCTCTATGTTTTCCTGGACATATGTATCAGTATAAGGTTTCTGGGAGGCCAAAATGATAAAGTTGTGGAGGCCAACTCATATTTTAAAATAAATTACATTTATTTAAACAATAATACTATATATAATTTAAAGTATTTTACTTCTTTAAAAAAATAATGTAAAGGATTTTAATTGATGTTGATGTTGAAGGCTATGGCCTCTACATGTGAACTATTGAAGCTTTGCTTTGGTGCTTATTATCAATCTTAAATTTGAAAGGATCAGTGAAGTGACTATTTGGAGGCTTTTCATACTTCTCATTTTAAAATGTGAAATGATGGCTGAAAATAAAACTATTACACTGAATAGGGAAATCTAAGAACAAATTGATACCCCTGATCATTTGTGAGTTAAAGAAGTTATTTCTAGTGTTCCTCAATAGACTGACATGTTATGAATACAAGGGCATGGTTTCTTTCAATTTTGTTCTATTGTTTTCAAAATCATTTCTGCAATATAAAATTCAAAAACAGTTTTGAAGAACAGAATTAAAATTTGTTAAGATAAATGTTGAGATATATAAAACCATTAATGTAGCCTCACCCAATAGCTTAAGCTTTTGGGTTGAATTGGTTCTTTACATGGTATCAAAGCCTCGGTGTACCGGGTTCGATCCTCACCGTCCCCCACTTTCTTTCTAGTGGAATTTCTTTGTTCGTACAGGTAGGTGGGCCTGTGCATTGTCCACCCTTCAAATCCAGTGAGCTCTCGTGTGAGGGGGCGTGTTGAGATATATAAAACCATTAATGTAGCCTCACCCAACAACTTAAGCTTTTGGGTTGAATTGGTTCTTTACAATAAATTGTTCTCATTTAATTTTAGAGTGTTCCATTTAAGCTTTTAATTACAAAACTGCCATTAATGAGTGTTCCATTTTTTTATTGTTTTCAGAATAATAATTTTAAATTACAGTTCTTGTTTTCTTTGTTTTAAAAACACCTTCCCTGTTCTATTGTTTTGGAAAATCATCATTCCACATAGTTTAATTATTATTATTTTTTAAAAACAAAAAAGTGTTTTTGGAAACAGAAACCAAACAGGCCCTTAAGTTTACCTCCTCCAACTATTCCGATGAAGCATTTCTTTCTTTTTTGTTCCCCCCCCCCCAACAAATCCCCCAGTATTTTTTTGCGCCTTAGCATGCACATATCTCTTAACTCCAGTGCTTGTTTCTTCCTTTGTTTTTCCTTCATTCTTGTTAGTCAAGGGAAATGAGCCATTGAGTTATTGTGCTTAGATGTTCATAACAAATGTTGTACAGGAGCATCTTTGGTTATCAATACTTCATGGAAAAATCCTTCTGGTGAATGGCATGTGGGTTATAAATTGGTTTATGAGCTCTTTACGGAAGATTTGACTTCTCGGTTGAAGGTAGTGTTTCTGTTTTATGAAATATTTTAGTTTCTATTTAGGCCTCTTACCTCTGGTTAATTGATCTAATTTCCGTTTTCTCCTCCTGAAATGTTGCTTGGCAGAAAGAAAGAAAGAAAAAGTGGGATGAGAAAAACCAGGATGAAGTTGCTAAGGCTGTAAAACAGCTTGATGATTTTGATCAGGTTCATTGGAAAATTTAATTGATTCTTCTTACATATGCTAGAATGGTAGAAACTCAAATTACATTTGATCTACTCATAACTCTTTGGCATCTTATTTAGTAGGCACCACATATTACAGGGGCAAGCCGTTCACGTGTTTTCTTTATGCTGTTGCATTTCTTTTTATCTTAGTATTTTCTTCCATGTCCTGTTGTATTTGCATGCATCAATTAGTACTGGTCTTGGTAAGAGCAAAAGAAAATTCTCCTCTTCTTTTCATATTCCAGCCTGCTATATTTATATTTTCTTTAACGTTCTTTTTGGAAGTACTCATTAAAAGTAGTGCCTCTTATGCCTTATGAACAGAAGAGAAGAAAATAAAATAATTAAAATATTAAACAGAGCCTATGAATATGCATATAAATTAGCACTATGAAATGTACTATTATCTCCTTCCGGATGCTTATTTACCAAGATGGAATTTGTATTTGATTGACTGTAATTTCCAATCTTATTACCTGCTCAAGTTGCAGATAATACTAGCTATCACCCATCTCTAGATATAATGTGGTTGTTTTGCAACTTTTTATATTATATCTTCTTATTCCATGTAACTCAATACATGATGATGCATTTTCTAGCAACACATCAAAGTGGAGGATGGCAAACATAAAAGGGCTCGTGAAGATCTCCAAAATAGGCTTGATATTCTTAGAAGGCAATCTGAGGTGGGTGCTGAGCACGTCACATTACTTTGTTGCTCTTTGACTACAGCTTTTCCAGTCCTTTCCAGTCCTTGAAATAGGAAATGAGTAATTTATTTTAATTTCTATTTAGTTATAGTGAAATGATGATATATATAGAATTATTGTCACTATGTGAAATAATGTTGGAAGCCTTTGCAGAAACAATGAAATTCATGTTTCTTCTCTCTTTCTTGAAGACTCAAAACTAAAAAGACACATTTATACTTGTGCTTTTGTTCCTACCCAAAATTTTGTCAATTGAAATTTCTTACTTTTAAAAGGAAATGATGTTTTATGCTTTAGAGCTATGATGATAAAGGGCCTGCCGTAGATGCTGTTGTCTGGCATGATGGAGAGGTCTGGAGGGTTGCTCTTGATACACAGAGTCTTGAGGATGATCCAGATTGTGGGAAGCTTGCTTACTTTGTGCCCTTAACTAATTATAGGTACATTTAGGTGCCGGTGTCAATATTTATTCTGTTAATCTTAGTTGATAGCTTTTGTGCAGATATGTCTCATGAAATTGGCAGATACTTGTGTTTTGGGTAACAATTTTCCTACCCCAAACAGCCTTACTTCTCTTGTCACTGCATATAGCGCAATTTAAAAACCATGATGTCCTTTTGATTCATGACTTCTTTTCTTGAGTTATTCCTACTTCAACAAAACGCGACTGTAATGGTTGTATATATGAAGATGTATACTGTTGAGATATATAAAACCATTAATGTAACCTCATCCAAAAGCTTAAGCTTTTGGGTTGAATTGGTTCTTTACATGGTATCAGAGCCTCGTGTCCCGGGTTCGATCCTCGCCGCCCCCCCCACTTTCTTTCAAGTGGAATTTCTTTGTTCGCACAAGTAGGTGGGCCTGTGCATTGTCCACCCTTTAAGCCCAGTGGGCTCTCGTGTGAGGAGGCGTGTTGAGATATATAAAACCATTAATGTAACCTCACCCAAAAGCTTAAGCTTTTGGGTTGAATTGGTTCTTTACATATACCATATCTTAGAAATAAATAATTGAAAATGTTATATGATTTGAATGGTATGGACACTTAAGTGAGTTGTTTTTCTGTTTTTTGAAACAATATGACACTTTTATGTTATGCACAAACAGTGTTTTTTATTTTTTATTTTTTATTTTTTTTTGGGGTTGTACAATAATATTGAACAGTTTGGATGACATTATGCAAACAGTACATCTCAATTTATTTGGTTTCTCTACTCTATGGGTTTTTAGATTTCTTACCAGTTTACGTGTAACTGAAAAAAAAAGTCATATAGGTAACATTATTATTTCCTAGAAAAGGAGCAACCTAGCAGTTAAGTAAAAACATCCCAGTGGTTCTCTACCTATATTATAGTAGAGATGTTTCTGAATTACTTTATTATATTGCCATTGAAGAAATTCATGTGCTTTATATTGAAGTCATTATCATTTAGTTCTAACTAGAGTAGTATCTATTAAAATCATTAGTGATTTCAATGCTAACAATCATAGCCTCTTCTTTCAGGACTGAGAGGAAGTATGGTGTCTTCAGCAAATTAGATGCTTGTACATTTGTTGTTAATGTCTATAATGATGGGAATGTCTTAAGTATTGTAACAGACTGTTCTCCCCATGCGACCCATGTTGCTGGTATAGCTACTGCTTTCCACCCGAAGGTACTGATGTATAAAGTTTATCCAAATAGTGCAATTCTTATGAAGAACAGTATACCTTTTGATATATGCTATGTTGTTAGGAGCCCTTGTTGAATGGAGTTGCACCTGGAGCACAATTAATATCTTGTAAAATTGGGGATTCTCGCTTAGGTTCAATGGAAACTGGAACTGGTTTGATTCGGGCACTTATAGCTGCTGTAGAGGTGCTTCAAATGATTTTTCCTCTTTATATGCGTATCCTGCATATTCCGACAACTGAAATATGATTTGTCTTTGATATTTGTGTGTCTGATGAACTAAGTTGTTATTTAGTGTTTATAACATCTGGCACAAGTAAGACTTTCAGTGATGGCCATTTCACATTTCTTTTTCAGCATAAATGTGATCTTATCAACATGAGTTATGGCGAAGCAACATTACTGCCAGACTATGGACGCTTTGTTGACCTTGTCAATGAAGTATTTTCTTGGACTTTAATCTGGACTGGTAGTTCTGTCTTTTCTTTGTCATTTTCCATTCTCTAAATTCTAGATGTTTCGGATGATTTAATTCTAGGCGGTGAACAAGCATCGTGTGATATTTGTGAGCAGTGCTGGTAATAGTGGGCCAGGATTGAGCACTGTTGGTGCACCTGGTGGTACATCTTCAAGTATCATAGGTGTTGGTGCTTATGTTTCTCCTGCTATGGCTGCTGGTGCACATTGTGTTGTTGAGCCTCCATCAGAGGGTCTTGAATATACTTGGTATTTGCTTCTCTTGAAACTTTCTATTTGGATGACTTCATATACCCTTCTATATTTGATTTTATTCTTCTGGTTTTGCATCATTATCATTGCATGATTGATGGAAAGAACTTTGCAGGTCTAGCCGAGGACCAACAGCTGATGGAGATCTTGGTGTCTGTGTCAGCGCTCCTGGGGGTGCTGTTGCCCCTGTTCCTACTTGGACTCTTCAACGGCGTATGCTCATGAATGGGACATCAATGGCATCACCATCAGCCTGTGGAGGAACTGCATTAATCATAAGTGCAATGAAGGTTCTTCGATGTGGTTCTGTTGCAGCTTATCTTATTTAGTTGGTATTACTTTGCACACGTATCTATAGTTTTCTGATTTATATGATCTGCATGTAGGCTGAGGGAATTCCTGTGAGTCCATATAGTGTGAGGAAGGCTCTGGAGAATACTTCAGTTTCCATAGGTGATTTACCTGAGGATAAATTATCCACTGGACAAGGACTTATGCAAGTTGACAAGTTAAATAATTTTCCCAGTCTATACTTTCCTGGAATTTTATTAAATTGTAATTTTGCAAGATTTGTATTGACTTAAATCATGTACTTCATGACAGGGCTTTTGAATATATACAGAAGTGTCAAAATATTCCGTGTGTTCGGTATCAAATAAACATCCAGCAATCTGGAAAAACAAGTGAGTTTTATTTCTGCCATGGACATTTCTCCTTCCCCTTATATGTAACAAAAGGAAGGAAAGATATTATCTTTTGGCCTTCCTTTATATTTGTGACTGTAGAAAGTGTTGTGTGTTAGTACTATATGAATATGTTAGATATAAAACCATTTATATGCCTTCAACCAACAACTTAAGCTTTTTTGGTAATTGGTTCATGATATGGTTTATGAGTAAGTGGTCGAGAGTTTGATCTTTGTTCCTTCATTCTTCTAATAAAGCAAGTTAAATTTTAGCACAAAGTAGCGTGGGCTTGTGCATTGCCTGAGGGGCTCTTGCTTTAGTGGCATGTTAGATATAAAACCATTCATTCGCCACCTAACATGTTAAACTTTTGGGATAATTGGTTCATGACACTAGATTAAGTTACTTGGGTACAAATAAAATGGCTTGCTGGACATTCTGTTATGTATAGTGAATATTTTTGTCCAATAAGAATGTGAATTTGTATATAGGAAAATGAACTTTTCTTGCCTAGAATTGAGTCTTAACTTCCTTGCTCCACTCTAAAATTGGTAATAAAGTTACATTGGAATGCAAAACACATGACAACCTATCTGGCAGGATTAAGAAAGAAAATTCTAATGATGGCCTAAAGAAGTGCTATATATGTTTAAACAATCATGTCTGTATAATATTGCATGGCAAAAAAATAGTAGTATTGACTTATGAGAAAGTCAATATTTCTTTCATCTTTGAATAATTGCTGCATTGCCCATGGATAAGTAATCTGACTAATCAGATGACTTGATTCACAGTCAAGGCTAGAAAAACAATGACATTAAACTAAGAGCATGCTTTTGAAACTGGCAAACTTCATCCTTTTGTACGATTGCTAATGGCAGATCCTTCATCACGGGGCATCTACCTTAGGGAGGCGAGTGCTTGCCGGCAATCTACTGAGGTAAGATCATTCATAAATTTTGCATGTATCGCTGCATTGATGATCAAAATATATTTGATCACGTCTTCAAAACTAGTAAAATGAATTAAAGGTGGGAAAACCAGTTACTGTTGACTTGGATCCAATCTTGTTTAACTCTTCTGGATCAATTCAAATGATGAGAAATTAAAGAATTGATAATAATACACTAGTTTACATTCCTTGTTTAGATTATAATGAAAGAACAAAATTACTGTTCCTAGAAATTCTATTTGGTAAAAAATGGTGAGGAGTTATGTGATGAAATTTGGTAACTCCCTTTGCACATTCGTTCTTGCCGTGGTAGCAAATATCATAAATGTAATATGGATTAGTTCTATTGAATTAGTAGAGAGAAATAGACAGGAAAAATGTAAAGGGCTGTAGCATGAAACACGGGAATGGATCCTCTCATATTAAAATTTCACATGATTTGGTCACGTGAAATTTTTGTGTCTATTTTTTTCTTCATTAATGATAATTGGACCCCATATATTTAATGCATGTGAAGAGAGAGATAGATAAACACATGGAAGTTTTAATATAAGAGGATCCACTGCCATGAAACACACATGGACTCTAGCCCACACTTCTAGTTATTTTAGATGGAAGAGTACACAATAGTAGATTGTTTTATCAGACTTCTAATTAATAACAACCTGTCAATTATAGTCAATCACCCATTTAATTTGGATGGCTTATCTCACAATACATTTTGATCCATATATTAGATTCGCCAATTTTTGTAAGTGCCTTCTATTGTTGCTTCTATTTTACCAAAATTATTCATATACTAATTTTTTTATCAGCTGCCAGCAAATTTTAGTGTGAGCCCTTAGTAATTTTTCAATTGGAATTTCCCCCCCCCTCCCCAACTTATGGTTGCACTTGTTGACAGTGGATAGTGCAAGTTAATCCAAAATTTCATGAAGATGCCAGCAACTTCGAGGAATTGGTTCCATTTGAGGAGTGCATTGAGTTACGTTCTACTGCAAAGACTGTTGTGAAGTTCCCTGACTATCTCCTGCTCACCCATAATGGTCGAACCTTCAAGTTAGTCTGCTTTTATTAACCATTATCTTTTCAGTCTTAGCATATATTGCCATAAGTTTTCATTAAATGTGTTGCTAAAATAGTATTTTCCCTTACATAACTTTTTTGTAATAAATTGAAATTACTTCGTACTTGATTATTATTACTTTAGTATTAATTTATGTTAGATGTATGGGGATGTTTCCATTAGTCTTATTGTTTAGTTCTGCATCTTTGGCTTTGTGTTATTATTTAATATTATTTTGTGCAGCTGTAAAAGCTTGTAAAACAAGTTCTCTGTACTTAATTAAATTCAGTGCAGTGTCTGAACAAGACACGAGCTTCATTCTTTGCCTTTGGATTTTTCTCTTTCTGGTAATAATTCAAGAGTTATTTGGATGCACTAAAAGTTATCCATCATGGAATACTTACCATGTGGCATGTGCACGGCTTCTGTGTTTGCCTGGATAATGCCAATCCTTCCTTCTTGAGTCAAACATTTCCATTGCTTATCCCTTTGGGGGAAATTTGTGAAGCAATCTTGTTTCATGTTAATATAATTTTGTATTTTAATCTTCAACTGTCATTAGGTCATGTAAAGTATTTTGTTCCCAGTGTTAGAAAATAGGCAGGCATAGACAGTTTCGAAGAAAACAAGCCGGTATACTATGTACAATTCATAAATAAGCACTTCTATATGCAAAATTTAGAAAATAAAAATAGAATTGTTAACCATGCTCAAAGAATAGCTAATAGTTGAACAAACATATATTAACCATAAATTTTGACCTCGGATAATTTCTCCTCTAAAAGGGAAGTTGTTCACTGGGACTTTCTAAATTGGCATTCCCCCTATAGATCAGAGTTCCTCATTGGAAAGATGGGAAATATCTTAAGATGATTGTGTTATGGCCTGCTGCACAATCAATCTCTATCTAACCTTTTCATGGTGAAATTTTGCATATCTTAATAAGTAATTTTGAAGAAGATACGGTGCAATCTAATTTGTCTAAATTCTAAGTAACTCTTTCTGATGCCTTACACAGTAATTGATTTTTGTTTTATTTTTTTTATTTTTTTATGCATGTTTACTGAGGGAATATAATTTATTGCTGTTGGGTTATCTGTAGACAAACATATCAATAATATGTTTAGCCCACATTTTTGCATCCTAGGAATTCATTTACTGAACTTAAGAAACTATTGTAGTATTATATTACAAAACGTTAAGTTACAGAGATGCTGATCCTTCTATATACACTTATAAGCACTGCATGCTTTTTCCTGAGGTAATAATTCTATTTTAATGTCTTGGGCTTCTGAAATTTTTTTCCTACTATCTTCTTCATTCTTTAATGGCCACATCTTGAAGCCGTTGTTATACTGAGATGTAGTTTTTCCATCAACGGACTATGGGGTCTGTTTGAATTTCATTTTGTTTTCCAGTTCTTCAAAACTGTTCTGCAAATAAATTTTGAAAAAAAAAAAAAAAACTCATTTGAATATAGTTGGATCTTAAGTTCTCAAAGAGTTGGATTTATTTACAAAAAGTGCCATTAATGAACCTTCCTAATTACAAGATTGCCACCGTGAAACAATTTAAAATTGAAAAAAATTAGATTTATTTACGAAAAAGCCATAAATGAATCTTCATATTTATAAAACTGCCACTGCAAAAACAATAAAAATCATAAAACAATTTTTGAGAACATCTCTAAGTTTTCAAATTTTGGTTTTAAAAATTAAAAACAGTTATTGTTTTGGGAATTATTTTTACAAAACAACAGTTTGCAAACAATTTCTTTTTTTTTGGTTCTAGAATCTAAAATACTGTTTTTAAAAATAGAAATCAAATAGTCCCTATGTTTCTTTTGTTCGCTATTCTTTTTGTTTTCCACTGAGTTTCTGTTGAATGATGTTAATGTGTAGTTTTGTTTCCTTAAAGGCTTGCAAGTTGTTTTGTTTCACTTTTAGTGTAGTTTCGGATTCTTCCAATCTATCTGATGATTTTCATTATTAATTCTTTTTTATTTCAATTGAGTTTCTGTTGAGTGATGTTAATGTGTAGCTTTATTTTCTCAAAGACTTACAAGTTGTTTTCCTTTAATTTCAGTGTAGTTGTGGATCCTTCCAGTCTATGTGATGGTCTTCATTATTATGAGGTCTATGGTATAGACTGCAAAGCTCCTTGGCGTGGACCGCTTTTCAGAATTCCAATTACCATAACAAAGGCCAAGACTGTAATTAATCAGCCTCCACAAGTTTCATTTACAAAGATGTTATTCCAGCCAGGTGTGCAATAGTTAATTAAGTTACTTGAAATTTAGAGAGTAAACTAGATACTATGAAATTGTGTTTATGGAGCAGTCCATACACTCCGTCTATATATTAGTGTTGGTGTTAACTAATTATGATGATTCTATCCTAGAAATATATAATTGTAATTGATTATTACAATATACCTAAGATGTTCTAACACTCCTCCACATGCTAAGTTTGTCACATATATAGTTGACTCGAGGACCTCTAAGAGCCTTAAAGAAAAGGTCTACAAGTTGATCATTGAAGTGTACAAATGCCGTTGTGGTCTCCTTGGACTGAATTTTTCAATTAATCTTAGTGTGTTTAGTCCTTCAATGGAAGACAATATTTGAAGATATATGTGGTACATCCTCATTGTCACATATAAGTTTCATCGGTTATGGTTCGCAAATGTTCAATTCTTTGAGCAACTGTTATAACCAAATGAGTTCACAAGTCGTAGTTCCTATTGCTTGATACTTAGCTTCTGCTCTTGATTTGACAATCACAGTTTGCTTCTTGCTTTTCCTCGACATTAGGTTTCCTTCAAAAAGGACACAATATCATGAAGTAGAGCCTCCCCAGCATCTGTGTAACCACAAATTTTCACATGTCCCTTATCTTCAAATAATAGTGTTAGAGAATAATATAAACCATTAAAAAACCCCTCACCCACCAGCTTCAACTTTTGGTTTGAATTGGTTCTTTACATGGTATCAGAGCCTTGGTGTCCCGGGTTCGATCCTCGCCACCTTTATTTTCTTTGTGGAATTTCTTAGCACAGGTAGGCTGGGCTAATGCATCATCCACCTTTTAAGCCCAATGGGCTCTCTTGTGAGGGGACATGTTAGAGATATATAAAACCATTAATGTAGCCTCACTTAATAACTTATACTTTTGGGTTGAGTTGGTTCTTTATATGGTATCAGAGTCTCAGTGTCACGATTTCGATCCTTACCGCCCCTCATTTTCTCTTGTGAAATTTCTTAGAACAGATATGTGGGCTTGTGCATTGTCCACCCTTCAAGCCCAGTGGGCTTGAAAGGTGAGGGGGTGTGTTAGAGAATAATATAAACCTTTAAAAAGCCCCTCATCCACTAGCTTAAGTTTTTGAGTTGAATTGGTTCTTTACAAATAGTAAGTCTCTCCTTGGTGTTTCTTTGATGTATCAAGTATGTCCAGCAATAACATGCCAATCATGGTCACATACATGGAACTCATAGCAAAGGAAATATATGGTTTGTTAATGTGAGGTAAGTTAATTTCGCAATTAATCTTCAATAATGACTTGGATTTGATAAGATCCTCTTGTCCTGGTAGAAGTTTGATGTTTGGATTCATATCAATGGGTTCACACCCTAGCATGCCAGTTCTTTCTCAAAGAAAGAATAGATTAAAAAAAGAAATTTGATGGAGAAAGCCGGTCATAACTAAGAAAAGAATAAAGTGGATGAGGATTATGAATGGATCATTTACCTTTTCTGAAAGCAATTGATGGACTGTCTAACATCGGAGCCATGGTAGAGGGAACGATTGGGGAAAGAAGCGAGTGACCAGGAACATTCTTTAACATATGACTGGCATTGATGGACGGTTGAGGTTGATGTTGATAAGTTATGAGAAGACAAGATGGATGCGGGATAGACTTAGGACTATAGTCACTATAAGAAGCCGAAGAAGCAACATAGAAAGATATAAGGATAGTATCAACCTGAGACACTTGTGTTTGTGAAGGATAATATTTTTTCCGAAATTGGTGACGTCAACAAACATGACATGTCGATTGAGATTGAAAGACTAACAACAGTACCCTTTTTGAAGACCAAAATATTCAAGGAACAAACACCTGAAGGCTTTTGCATTGAGTTTGTCCTTTCGTGGAGTAAGATTATAAATAAGACAGGTTTAACCAAAAACATGAGGAGGCACTTGGTAAACAAGATCATTGGGAAGTAATGTATTGCGAGGAAAGTTGTTATCTTACATAGAGGAGGGTATGCAATTTATTAGATGTAAATATTTATTATTTTGTTTACTGAAAATAAAATAAAATATTTACCATTATATTTTCAAATTGAAAATCTCTTATACACTCCAGTGAGATTTATTCGGTATCCATTTTTAATTTTTATTATATCATTTTGGTAAAACATCGATCAATTTTTCATAATATGTAATGAAATTTCAAATATTATAGATGTCGGAGCGTGTCAGAGTGTCGGGGAGTGTCAGACACTTCATTTCAGGTTTTTTGAAGTGTCGGTGCTACATAGGCCACAACTAACTATTTTGGTGCCATTAGCAAGGGTAATTGTAGGAATGTTATAAGAGTAGGGAAATTAGAGAAGATCTTTATTGCTACATGGATGATTGAGAGATGCAAGCAATGAGTTTATTTGTTTGTTAAACAAAAATGGTCACACTAATAGTAGATGATGCTGTCTAAGTTGGAGGAAAGTTAGCAGTTGATTCAGATCTATAATTAGCTGATCCAATTAATCTCTGAGACGTAATGGACGGGACATCGATATTGGTGAGCACTATGGAATTCTTGTCCCCTGAACCCAGGGAAAGAATCTCATAAACATCGGAACTGTCCCCCATTGCAATAACTCAAAAGGGGTTCAGCAAATGGGAAAAGAACTGTTGGTAGGATGATTGTTGGCAAGATCTGGACAACACCAAAACTATTGTTCAACAAACACCAAAAGAGTGGGACCCACATCCTGAAACGTCCTAAGATTGTTGAGGTAGGAGAATGAAAGGCTTGTGCATAGATTTTGGATAGATCTATGCAAGAATGACGCTGGAAAAGCAAGTGATGCGCCCTCATGCCCTGGCACATGGAGAAGCAAATGCTGATGGGCATTGAGTATTTGGATAGCTCGAACAGTAGCTTCTAATTCTGTGGTTGAGAAGTTGGTTGGAAAAGTTTTGCGATAGTCGAAAAGATGAACGATTTTGAATGTATGCTAGAATAAGGCGCGACAGAGTGGGCTTGCTGGTACTGAGGTGCAATGAAGAGGTGGAGACAATTCTAAGATGGTATATGAGACAAATGTCTGTTACTGTAAAGAACCAATTCAACTCAAAAGCTTAAGCTATTGAATGTATCCCTCACACGAGAGCCCACTGGGTTTGAAGGGTGGACAGTGCACAGGCCCATCTACCTGTGCGAAGAAAGAAATTCCACTAGAAAGAAAGTAGGGGGCGATGAGGATCGAACCCGGTACATCGAGGCTCTGATACCATGTAAAAAATCAATTCAACCCAAAAGCTTAAGTTATTGGGTGATGCTAATGGTTTTATATATCTCAACAGTTACGACCACAACCTCTATTGCGTGAGACAAGATTGTGGTTCCCATTGTTGTGGGTCACATATTTGAGAATATTGGATAAAAACGGAGTTGAAAACACAAAATAAATGAGAGAGAGGCTAGAAGTCATGCAAACTGAGTACCCACTGCCGGAGGAGGGCAGATCTGAGCAGTAAAGGTCACCTGGGTGACCTGGCTTGTGGTTGATTGGAGAATGGAGGTGCATCCATGCCTGCCATGCGCGCATGTGGAGGAGTTTGTCCGCACGAATTGGACAATGGCATAGATCTGGTGATAGCGACCCTAAACAGTGATGTTCCGATCAGAAAGCTCACACGAAAATTTGCTTGTGACGGCGACAATGTTGGTTATAGGTACGACGGTCCTTGGAACAAGGTGGCAGGAGGGATATGCGGCCTAAAAGGGGTTTGCCAGAGGATGCACAATGGTAAGGGTGAGCAGCTGCTGCATAGTGGGCACAATGGAATTAGGGTTTTGTAGAAGCAAGGTTTCCTAGAACACATAGCTTTGGTACCAACTTGAAGTTAAAGAATTGTGTCAAGTTTAACCACACAAGGGTTGTATTTATAATAATAAGATACACGGTTTGGGCCTTGTTTACATGGGACAAACTAACACAACTTAAAATATACTTTTTAACAGTATACATGAGATATCACCTATGATATTCTAACAAAGTTAATCTCTATGTTTCTTTCTGCTGGTGTCTTACCTATGGTATTCTAACAAAATTTATCTCTATGCTTCTTTCTGCTGGTGTCCTACTAAGATTTAAATCCAGGATCCACACGTAATGCATTCCAACCAAAACATTTGAGCTATTGCCCTGGGCCCTTTTTTCCCCCTAATATCACAATTCTGGTGTAGTTTCTGGTATTTAGTCCTAAAATCAATTCTTACTGTGTGAGTGAGAGAGAGAATTATGATGGGGATGCTAAGAAATTTAGTAGTCTATCCATATACATATATATTATTCATGTTAGGGTGAGTGCAAGTATCGTACACATTAGCCCATTCCATATCCTAATCCTTGCCCAAATAGGCAAGCACATATACTATACACAGTCTAACACATTTAGTTATTTGATTTATATTTGTTGCATCATTAGGCCATATAGAAAGGAGATATATAGAAGTGCCACACGGTGCATCTTGGGTTGAAGCAACAATGAAAACATCAGGTTTTGACACAGCTCGAAAATTTTTTGTGGACGCTGTTCAGGTACAACTTGCTGCTTGAAACTTTGTCCAATTATGAGTTGTCCTTTTGACATATTTTCTATGTCCAGATATGCCCATTGCAAAGACCTTTGAAATGGGAGAAAGTGGAAACGTTTGCTTCACCTGGTGCCAAAAGCTTTGCCTTTAGTGTAGTGAGTGGTCAGACATTGGAACTAGTCATTGCTCAGTTTTGGTCAAGTGGCATAGGGAGTCATGAGACTGCCAGTGTGGATTTTGAGGTAACAGAATTCCTATTTATAAGATAAATTTGTTTTCTCCTCCAGGATATTTGGATAGATTTTGCTGCTTTTTTTAATAAAGTGAAAAATATTCTAGTTTATGAATTGCAAGGTACATGATGATTGTTCCTATATCTTTTAGTAGTTGATCTTGATGATGTATCTCAATTCCTTTATATTTCTTTGGCTTGTTGTGTTGTTGGATAATGGTTGATAATTTGCTATTTTTCATCTATTCAACACTTCAGGGAGCTTAGACAACAAATAATGAAAAGATTGAACAGAGAAGGCCGTAGTTAAGTCTAAAAAGGAATAAACACATTGTTTTGTCCTTCCTCATGGCTTAGTATGTTTATGCTTGTTCTTTCATATGTGTAAAGAACCATTTGAATCCAAAAGCTTACACTGTTACTTAAAGGCCACAATAATGATTTTATATTATGTTTTTCTAACACACCCCATCAAGAGCTTCTTGGGCTTAAAGGGTGGACATGCACAGGCCCCACATACCTATGCTGAAAAACTCTACAATATTTAATTATTTATTAATAAAATGGGGAAGTGAGGATCAAATTCGTAACTACTTGGTCACGGAAGCTTTGTTAGCTTGTAAGAATCAATTCAGGTTAAAAGCTTAAATTGTTATGTGAAGGCTACATTAATGGTTTTATATTATCTCTCTAATAATATGATTGCATCCTCTGAAGAAAGCATGATATGATTTTCATTTGTGAATGATATTATTATTTTTATTTTTTTGCCTGTGTGATCTTTGTTGACAAGCGAGGATGTGATGTGATCATTCTTATTGAGGATAAAGTCTTGCTATTTACATATGTTATGGAACCAACTCTACTAAAAATCGGATTTGTTTGGTTAAAGCGCATGAATAGTTTTATATTACATCTCCAATACACTCTTCACATGAGAGTCCTTTGGCCTTGAACCGTGACCTATGCACGATTCATTTTGAAGTTTAATTCTTTTGTGAGAAAAATGGAGGTGGTAAGGATTGAATTTTAGACTATTCGGTCATAGAGGTTTTGATTGATACCATATTATGAATCGACTCCCCCCAAAACTTAAGTTGTTAGGTTAAAACACATAAATTGTTTTATATTATATATTTAACAAGTAAAAATTCTAGGTTGTATTTCATGGTATAAAAGTCAATCAAGAAGAAGTAATGCTAGATGGTAGTGAAGCACCAGTCAGAATTGATGCTGAAACACTACTGGTATCTGAGGAACTTGCACCCGTGGCAATTCTAAACAAGGTTATCTTTTTAAAGCTTGTTTCTTTTTCCTTTTTGTTCTACTCTGTTATGCTTGTATAGGGGATACCAATGTGGTTAACCTGTTTTCACAATGTATATTAAAATTGCAGATTAGGGTCCCATATCGACCAGTAGATTCTAAGATTTGTGCACTTTCAACAGATCGTGACAAACTTCCCTCTGGAAAGCAGACACTGGCTATGACTTTGACGTGAGTTATAAAATTCCATTACTGTGTCATTTGTCTGCGAATCATTTAGATGGCCTTTTCTCAGTATTCTGATTTTGCAGCTACAAGGTCAAATTGGAAAGTGGAGCTCAAGTTAAACCTCAAATACCATTGCTAAATGGCCGGATATATGACACAAAATTTGAGTCTCAATTTTATATGATTTCTGACTCAAATAAGGTATATTAATATTGAGTTGTTATTTTTCTTCTGGAGATGTGTGGAATAGTTTTAATTTTTTTTTTTAGTCAATGGTAGGAATAATAAGTTGCATGTAACTTGTGTCGTATTTAGACATGCTGATTTTTATTTTGTTTATTATGCCAAATTACCGTTTGAGGAATTGTAATACCCTGTTAGTAAGGAACCACAAGTAGTGGGGTATATAACCCCTATTGGGTGATATCATGTGCGTGTTAGTGTATAATAGATATGGCTGAGTTCTATTTTCCAAATGTTTTTCATATAATGGCGGTGTTTATTGGTGGAACCCAACATCTTTTTTATTTTGGTAACTCTTTATTTGCGGGTATATAACCCCTATTGGGTGATATCATGTGCGTGTTAGTGTATAATAGATATGGCTGAGTTCTATTTTCCAAATGTTTTTCATATAATGGCGGTGTTTATTGGTGGAACCCAACATCTTTTTTATTTTGGTAACTCTTTATTTGCTTCATATAATTTATCTCTCTTTTTCTTTTTCACTCTTCTGATTATAGCGCATATATTCAAGTGGAGATGTCTATCCAAGCTCTTCAAATCTTCCCAAGGGAGAATATGTTCTACAGCTATATTTGAGGTACATTACTCTTTTCGAGCATATATTCTGGATGAGTGCCCATAGTAGTTTGTTCCCAGTGGATCTTGCTGTAGATCTGATGACAGTTATTAACTTACTATGAATTTGTATATTTTGAAATTATAGGTAGTAATTGAACACTAGTAGTGGCCTAGTATTGTTTAGAGGACTTGGGAAGCTTGATTTAGTTATTAATACTTGCAACAAGAAAGCTAGCATTTGCATTTCAAGTGGAATAATTAAGTTCATATAAGATTTATATGTAAAGGTGTGTTTGTCCTCTACATTCATAATAATTTATTCGTTTCAGGCATGACAATGTACAGATTTTGGAAAAGATGAGGCATTTGGTGTTATTCATTGAACGAAATTTGGAAGAGAAGGTAGTTCATCGTATCAGTTTTATGTTTTTCACAAGTGTTCAATTGCTGCTGAAGTCTATAAGAGCTTTTCTATTATGGTTCAAGGTTTCTGAATTAGCATTATATGAGTATATGACTCTTGATAAAGTTGGGGTCGCCTTATGTCATATTAAGCGGAGAGTTTATTGGAAATATGATTAGATAGTGTTTTTACTAGCATGTTACAACTTACAATTAGGTGGGGATGGCTAAATTGATCTGATGATGTCATAGGCGTAGATGTGCTCAAATTGGTGAAAATTTGCCAGGAATTCTAAGTATTGTTATCTCCCATTAATTTATTCTTATGCTTGAAAATAATTTATAATTCTGAGTTAGACATGCCTCCATCCAATAATGCTTCGTACCTGTATAGGGTAAAAATCTATATACATTAGTAATTTCAGATTATACGCATTCTTTCTTTTTTATTATTTAATTATTATTTATGATTTTGTCTTTGATTCCAGGATGTCATCCAGTTAAGCTTTTTCTCTCAACCTGATGGCCCTCTGCTGGGAAATGGTTCTTTCAAATCCTCTTTGTTACTTCCAGGGTACGTGATTGGGTTTCTAGTCCAAACTTCTTTAAATTTTAAATTTCTTCTTGTGATGTGGTGTTGATTTTTCTTATTGATAGTATGAAAGAAGGAATATATTTGGGTCCACCACCAAAAGAAAAGCTTCCCAAGGTACATGTTTCTCCAATGTTAACCTTTTAGATATTGACAGTGATAGGAAGTAACAACTTTTACGATATTTCTGCAGAATTCTCCACAAGGATCTGTATTGTTAGGGGCAATTTCATATGGGAAGCTATCATCTGCTGATCAAGGGGAGAATAAAAATCCAGAAAAGCACCCTGCGTCGTATCGGATTTCATACGTAGTTCCCCCTAATAAGGTATGCTTTATAATTGCACACCCCATGATTGTAAGTGCTAGTTTGAACAAGCACCAAGCTGTGCTGTAGTTGAATCTACTATCACATGATATATGATCTAAGTTAATGTCTAAGTTATATTTGTCTTCTGTTGAAAGATTGATGAGGACAAGGAAAAAGGTACTTGCTTATCTTCCAAGAAGACTGTTTCTGAACGTTTAAAAGAAGAGGTATGTGGGTCATACTTCAGAAAAAGAGCTCCGTTTTGGTTTTAATTTTATTCTATTTCAATAATGGTTGAATATGTTCTCTTTTTGCATCTATTCTTTTCCTTAAAGCTATTGCGTTGTTATCCATGTTTTGAAGTGTCATACTTCAAAAATTGCATCACTTGAAACGTTGATAAAATGGCAGTGAACGAGGTGATTCAAGGTTAATTATGTACAGATGAAATTCACTAGTACACCTTATACTGAATTCGTTTCATCAATGAAGTCAACTATGTTTCTGGATTCAGCTCAATGGCATTATATAGAACATTTTCTAGACGTTGATTCTGTTATTTATATCCTGTACACCTTATACTGAATTCGTTTCATCAATGAAGTCAACTATGTTTCTGGATTCAGCTCAATGGCATTATATAGAACATTTTCTAGACGTTGATTCTGTTATTTATATCCTGTATTCTAGCATCTTCCATGATCTTAAACATTAAATTATAAATTGGATACGTACCCCAAAAAAAAAAAAAATGTTTGATGATTTAAATAAAGGAGGACAAATGTTGGCTATAATGAGTGGATGATGTGTACATTATTTGTTCTTTTTTGGTAAAGTGACGTGTGCATTTTTATGTCTTTAACAGTTAAGTGAGCATGTATGTATGGTATACGAATTATGAAATGAACTATTGTAATATCTTGTGGGCTTTTTTTTTTTTTTTTTTGGGTAAACATATCTTATGGACTTTAATTCTGCCTTGACTTGGCTATCGTAATGTAGATTCTATTCTATAGATTTCAGATTGCTTATCTTCTGTCTTATTGGTACTTTTGTTTTGGCTTGACTTATCCATCAGGTAAGAGATGCAAAAGTAAAAGTTCTGGGAAGCCTAAAACAAGAAACTGATGAAGAGCTCTTGGAGTGGAAAGAGCTATCTGCATCGCTTAAAGTCAGTAAAGAAAATTTAATCTTGATATCTTTAGTCTTAAATTCTATGTAATATCTTTTCTTCTGCAAGACTATTTATCTTTTACTTTTTAGTGTTTGTTAAATTGTATTTGGCTGTATATTTTCTGATGAATGTATTCAGTTGTCTATAGTACATAAATATGCTATGTTTCCTTTGCAGTCAGAATATCCAAAGTACACTCCATTGGTTGCGAGGATTTTGGAAGGTATAGTTTCTAGGAATAATATCAAAGACAAAATCTCTCATGATGAAGAGGTACGTTTTGTCGGAAGCAAAAGTTCAATATTAATTTTGGCACTTTTTCTCCCCACCCTCCCCCTCCTCTTTTATGCCCTCATCTCTCTGATTTTCCTTCCTTTTGACCATGTTTTGATTTGTACACCTTTTTGACTACTGGAATGCTAATAAGCTGGTCTCTGGAGTTTTTGGGTTTCATTGTTCTATTGGTCCTGAATTTTTTTTTTTTTTTTTAATTATCAAAAAGTTTAGTCAATAGTTTCCTATATTTTAGATATATTCTCATCTTATGGAATATATTAGAAGACTATGAACTAATACTTTAGAACTAATTTGGGAGGATGATCTACATGACGGGAACTTTTGATCCAATGATAGTTTATCATATTGACATTTGTACTGGAATCTATTTGACTATGGATATGATGATTACTTTTAACAGGTGATTGATGCAGCAAATGAGGTGATTGACAGTATTGACAGGGAAGAGTTAGCAAAATTTTTTGCACTAAAAGAAGATCCAGAAAATGAGGAAGCAGAGGTTCTTAATCTTGTCCCCAATAACTGTAGTTATTCCTATCAACCAGTTCTGAAATGGTTACTAAAGAAATATAAGATATAGATAAATCTTGTTGCTATAGGGAAGCAACTACAGACCTAAATGAGCTTAATTTCATCCTATCAATTAGAGACTAATCTCTGCTAATTAGTGTTAAAGTCAGTTGACCTACAGCTACTTATTTAGCATCTGCTGTAACTAACAAATCGCATGTGCTAAATCTAACGGTTACCATTAGGTCTTATTCAGGTAAAATGCAAGACTGGTGAGAACAAAGATTGGTTGTTCGTGATTTATGAAATTATATGCATGAATACATCTACCATACTCGTATTGTCTTGTTCTTGTTTTATGAAATTATAAGCAGCAATGCATCTACCATACTCATATTGTCTTGTTCTTATTTTATGAAATTATATGCATTATTGGTTACATTGATCTTTATTTAGTATTTGGGAATTTTCAATTAGGTTCCTACATTTTAAAAGTTTAAATTTGGTCTCTATAACTTCAAAAATTTATAATTGGGTACCTATTGATGAAGAACGGTTGAATTTAAGGACCCATTTAAAAATTTGTTAAACTATAGTGATCCAATTACAAATTTTAAAATATAGGGAACTACTCGGAAGTTCCCAATAGTATAGGAACGTAACTGAAAATTCTCAAATAGATAGGGTCCTATATATTAATTTAACCTTTTAACAATCGTTTTAATGTAAAAATTGTGCGGAAATGATTAGTGTAAACATTTTTATACACTACCCTAATCAACATATCAAATGTTAACTCAATTTTTCTTCGCAAAATTATTACAGAAGTTCATTCTATGTTGTTAAATGAATTGTATACTACCTTCACAATGCATTATTTGAGAAGAAATTTCAAGAGATTTTTGCCTCAGCATACTGCTATTTATATACATGAAAAGATAAATGCAATTTATATTTACAAGAATAATAAGGAATTGCACTATTTTCTTAGATGCTGGTGTCCCCAATGCTTCATAATTCTGTTGTTTACAAAGCTATAAAAGTTACTTTTATCATTTCTAACTGCGGTTATTTGCAATTTGTTGGCATTTAATGATCTTTCAATCATACTGTAGAATATCAGGAAAAAGATGGAGTCAACCCGTGACCAGTTAGCAGAGGCACTGTACCAAAAGGGGCTTGCGCTGGCAGAGATTGAGTCTTTAAAGGTTAGGGCTTTTATTATTTTTCTGATTATGTTGTTTAAAGCAATTATTGAACATTTTCAACTATTACAATATGAATACATGCTAAACAAAGTGAAAGAGCCATGCAGATGATACTGCAAAAGTCTGTTTCATTATCGTGTTACGTTAATAGAGGACTTGTTTTATCCTAGTAGCTGTTTAAAGCAGTAGAGCTTGAAATTATTAAAAATATCTCCAAAAGTAGGAAATATCCCTGTAAATTGGGGTCAAAATTAATTATTTTTCTCTTGAGAGCAAACCACAGGTATCATGTTGTAAATAATCTGTTGTAAAACTACATTGTTGTGATTATGATCGTTAGCGATATTGTTGTCTGGATGTAGTATGTAGCTATAAATGTCAACAGCTTTTCACTTATAATCTCCTGTGGTTAGTTTGAGTTGAGTCATATGCATTATTCGAGGAAAAAGTCTCTGCGACCCTCCTTAAATAAGTCAAATTTCGATCATGATAGTGATAACATTTGATTATTTTTTTATCAAATAAAAGTTGGCAGACTTGACTTGGTGTATATTGTCAAAGGAGGTAGATAAGTCGTCGGCGTTGGCTGCAACAGAAGGTGCAAAAAAGGACCTGGGCAATGAGCAATCTTCAGAGGATGGCAGTCACCAAGACTTGTTTGAAGAGAACTTTAAGGAGCTGAAGAAATGGGTTGATGTGAAGTCACCTAAATATGGAATCCTCTTGGTGACACGTGAGAGGCGTTCTCAAAGGCTTGGGACAGCGTTGAAGGTATTATATTTTGCTAGTCTTGTATTGGTTACTGCATGGATGATAAATCACCAATTTATGAATTACTAACAGTATCTCGAGACATTAGTGTCTACTCGAGTACGTAGACTCGTAGTTTTCTTTGCTCCTTATTGAGATTTATTTGTAAGTAGTGGTCATTGTGGTGAAGGCATGGCACTGCTTCACAGCTCATTGGCCCAGTTGTAATTGAACCAATGATAGTTAAATATATTTTATATTAATATATTAAATATAAACTAACATACAGATGAAGTAATATGAGGCAATATTCAAAACGAGGTATTTAATCTTGAAGTCTTTTTTTTTTCTTTTTAAAAAGACGCTCCAAACCAGTTTGACTGGTTTTCCACTGGCTCTTTGAACAGCCAGTTTTATGGGTTGTATGGATAAGATAGATAGTAGTTTTCTGGTTGAATCGGCCTTTCTGGTCTGATTTTTCTTATCATTCATATTATAACCTGTGTGATTAATGGATAAAACTTGTGGTGAGATAGATCATTAAATTCAGGTTATCTATAATCATGAAGCAACTCTGTTCTTTTCTGTCTTCCATGCAAGTGTATTGTTTTTGGGATGATCATAGGTGATGGGAAAGGGACTTCGGCTGGATAAATTACTAACCGTATCTGATCCTTTTCTGCCCTTGATTCAGGTACTGTGTGACATAGTCCAAGATGATGCGGAGCCTGCCAAGAAGAAGTTCTATGAACTAAAGCTCTCTTTGCTTGATGAGATTGGATGGACACATATAGCTACATATGAGAGACAGTGGATGCTTGTGCGTTTCCCTCCAAGCTTGCCCCTTTTCTAGGGCCTGCCAAACGAGAGAATGTTGGGAAGCAAAGTAAGGACTTCGGTGCAATGTCCTTTTCCTCAATAATTTGTATTTGTGGGGACAATTCATGAAACAGAGACCTTTTTACGTATGGCCTATCCTTTCCTTTTTCCACACATCTTGGCCTGGCCATCGGTCATGGTGTGGAAAATTTGCCATTCAGGTGTACTGCTAATACTTAAATGTGGCTGCCATGTCAAGGGGTTGCCAAACCCCTTTACATTAATATGATTATTACAGAATAAATATAGTTTTCACTTGTCTTTTCTCGATAGTTGTTTCCAAGGTAATTCTGAGAATCACGGAAGGAGCTTATTTTCTATCCTTTGTTGGAATTAATGACCAAGTCCTTGCTATGCAGAAGAAAGTAAATGGAGATGAACAACTGCTTATATTAACCAGAAACAGAAACTGCTTGAGCGAACTCTGTTTTCACATTTCAGAATTGATGCTAAAACAAGAAAAAAAGAGCAGTATGGAAAATTTCCGAGGACTGATTATACGTGCCCCTTCGGGCCCTTGCCCCTTAGAATTGAATCGTGATTGTGTCTTCTCGCTTCTTGAATTTAGAATCCTCCCACCCACTAGTTACCCGCTACCTGTCCATTTTCTTACGGATTAAAGGCCGTTTGGATGGGGTTTATTTTAGCTAAGAGTTATTTTTTTTCAGGAAAAAAACACTTTTACTTGTAAGTCTGTTTAGATGTTTGTTTTTAAGAAAAAGTAAAAATCACAAAAAAAAAGTTAAATTTTTTTTTTTGGTAAGCTAAAATTTTTAGTTTATTTTTTTAAAAAAAAGTCAAAATTTGTGTTTTTTTTTTTTTTTTAATATAAGTAGCTTTATTTTTTTATAAAAATTATTTCTAAAATGGGAAAGAATATTGTGACAACCAAGTTGTGTTACTACTAAGTGACTACCAATCAATCTTACCGTTAGATCGATTATATTGATCCAACGGTTATATTTATTTTCATCTTTGTATGATCATGATTCCTCAAATTTAATACTTTATATTTATTTTCACTTTTGTATGATTATGATTTCTCATATTTAAGCTTTAAATATGGAAAATCATGACCATACAAAGATGAAAATAAATATAACCGTTGGATCAACATAATCGATTTAACGGTGAGATTGATTGGTAATCACTTGATAGTAACACAACTTGGTTGTCACAATATCCTTCCCCTTCTAAAATAAGTACGATATCAATAGCACTTTTTCGGGAAACCTATCCAAACAGGTCTAATGGCTTCTTTTTCTCAATGAATCTATTCCTTCTTTACTGGAAATTTTTTAAGCTCCTGTCCCATCGTTATTTCTTGTGGTTCCTTTCACAATCAAATTTGATGTTTTTCCATTTTATTGCTATTTTGACTTTCATGTTTCTTATTTATCCCTTTATATGTGGGTGGGAGTACCTAAGGATTTTATGGGCCGGACCATAGAATCCTTTCTCCTTCTTTCCGCATGGATCCTCATCCTTCCCTTGGGTTATTATTCCGCTACGATTCCTATTCTTCCTTTTATAAACCTTTAGATTAGGTGGGTCTCTGTCATTATAGTTGAAATCCCAAAGCTGCCATTGGATGTCGTGCTTCGATAGTTGCTTGTTTTGACTGAGCCAGGCACTTCCATCAAGCCAATGGAATTCAAGCATTCAAAAGCATAAGCCAAGAGTGCAACTATAGCTTCAAGTCAAGAAGTAATCGAGAACCTAAGCACGGGGTAATTTTATTCACAGTACTAATTGGTCTCCAATGTCTAGAATATGCATAAAAATTAAACGGGTTAAATTTTTCTGCTGCATGTATAAGAAATATATGGGCCCAATTGAAAAGTTAAAATAATAAAAAAAAAAGCCTCACATATTTTTTTGTATCTGCAGGAAAAGAAACTTTCTCCTTTAACATGAAAAAAGATTAACCCAAAATAAACGAGTTAAATTTTTTTTATGTTAACGGAGATAAATTTTTTCTTGTGCACAGACAACAGATATACGAGGATCACTAAAAAGTTAAAATAAAATAAAAATAAAAATAAAAGTGGGGCTCACATGTCTCTCATGTACACAAGAGAAGAAACTTATTTCTTTTAATATGAGAAAAGATGTTAAAAGAGAAAAGTTTGTTCTCTTGCACACAAAAGAGATATGTGGGGTATTGTTGTAAAAAACTAGTGTAAAATTGTAAAACATACGTTTTTATTGAAGTGATACGTATTAAAACGTAAATAAAAACTCTCCTCGATAAAAACTGGTAAAAACTCTGTGTAAAAATGGTAGAAACACAAGTTTTTATATTTTTACTTAAATCAAAAAACTGAACTGGATCAACATTTAACTCATGACCTTATTCTATTTTTATTTTTTCAAAAAATAAAATAAAAAATTCTATTCCCATTTCCCCTAAATCAAATGCATAGTATCTTTTTCCATCTATTTCAAAAGAAAAAAAAAATCTTGCGGAGGTCAATGTATTTATATTTATGAGTTGTTAAACTTATTCTTTGGATGTTTTGAAACTTGGTTATAGGAGCTGTTGAACTCTTTTTATGATTTTGGACTTATGTCTTATATAGTTATATGATTTTTATCTTTTAAATATGAAGTTGAATTTTGAGTAATGACTTATGTGATATATATTTTTTTTACATGCATAATGACTTACTGAATTTTAAGTAATATCTTTTAAATATGAGTTGTTAAATTTTATATCTTAGACCTTAAGTAGTAGAAATTTTATGTTGTGTCATTTTTATGATTTATGTTTCTACCATTCCCTTTCGTTTCTATATAGAAACTCGATTTTGACAATATTGACGTGAAGTGTAAATATATCATGAAATTGATAAAAGTCAACACACTAAAAGCGATAGTGATGTGCACAAAGTGAACAGTGAAAATGAAAAATGTGAAAAATGGAAAGAAAAACAATAAACAAAAACAAAAACAAAAATATTATCATCAACAATCTTTTCTTGTTTTCTTTGTTGGATTTGATCCTTCTCTTGATGTAGCTATTTTTCTTCTCTTTCTTGTTAGAGTTGATCATTCTCCCGATGCAGTTTTTCTTTTCTTATCAGTACTCTTCTTTGAACTATTGCTACAGTTATGCATAATTCATTACAAAAAAAAAAAATACACACACTCATAAAAGAGAAAAAGATGTCAAAACTATTATTATGCTCTAATAGATAGATTGGAAGATATCCAATTTCAAAGCACAACTTCGTCTTTTTTCAAATTATCCAATTCTTCTTTTATTTCAATTTTTTTAATATACCTTTTTTGTAACACTTGTTTGAGCCTTCATTATGTCTTCGTAGTTTGCCTTATTCTTCAAAACCTCGTTCAGCTCCAAATATTATGTTTCATAATTTTCATACTGAACCTGCATTCAAACACTTTTAAATGAAGAATTTAATTAATTCTGACAGTGTAATGATGTAAAAAAATTCAATTTTTGTGTGTGAAAGTAATCAACTATGGTCTCACATAATCATAAATTGCAAGGGATCACAATTTATCAAGACTAAAATGCAATATTCAATGTAACCAATACTTTGAACTGTCTAACTTGGATCCATACAAATACAACCGTAAGTAAATGGGCCCAATTATTGCTTATAAAAGGGTCACCCTTATTTCTTTTATGTGTTTTAGGTAACAGTCTTTTGTTGTCTATGATGTTGTTGGGTGTAAAGGACAGAATCCTCAAATTTCACATAATTCTTCTATTGATTATTAACAAACAATAGTATTTCAATACAAACTTTAGTAGTTTTTCTTTTTGACCCTTTTCATGTTCGGATTATCCGTAGTCAAAATTTTATGACAATATATTCTAGGTCTTTAACTTTATATAATTCGAAGTTAATTTTTTTTTTTTTAAATAAAATTTCTCTAATCACATTCAACATTCTACTGATAATAAGTCAAGATTCATACATGAATTGTGATTGTCTTCTGCGGTTGCCATATTGTTTAAAATCTCATCCTTCTCCATATAATTTGTCCCTTTCATACTTAATCTGCATCCAAATCATTTCTAGTGAACAACTAAATGAATCGTGAGAGTATAATAAAGACAACTTCTTAAAAGAGAACATCTTAAAAGGATCACAATCAAGTAAGACTTATGAACCATATTTAACATGTGTTAAGATAATTACTTTAGCATGTTCAAAGTTCCTTGGAACAATATTTTTGTGGACTGCTGAAAAATGAAGAAAATCAAGTAAGTAGAGTGAAATTAACATTAAATGTAAATGCATATGGTGTACATATAATGCCTTAAAACAAATATATGTACCAACACTTAAAATTATCATCTCATTATCATTTGATAAAATTTTCCCGAGATAACTCTCTCCCGCATGTCTTCACAATTCTCACAAAACCTCCCAATAAATCAATCTAAACTCTTTTGAGTATATTTCAAAACATTGCATTAACGATAAGAAACGTCTAATTAGGTACACCCTATAACTTTAGTTATTGATTTGATGAAGTTTTAGATTAATGGCTGAAATACATTACTTGGCTCCTAGTTAACAAGATATTATACAAAAGTAATTTATAAAGTTAACCTTTTAAAATAAAAGTTTGTGTAACATACATTATTGACACAAGTGGTAAGGAACTTGTGTCCTTTAACTAGAGGTTTCAAATTCGAGCCCTGGAAATAGAAAAAATGGTCTTGAGAGAGTCGCCCCCGCTTTGGGTCCGGCAGTGCCTGAACCAAACTAATCCGAAGAATGAACCAATTGAGAAGACTTAAGAAAAAGTTCACTAATTCATCATAAAATGTGGCATCCATTTTCTCCCTTTTGGTATCATCGAAAAGATGAAGAGTCAACATTCAAGATAAGGAAGAAAAGATGTCAAGTAAGCATGATAGGGATTAATAGCTCAATAGTGAAAAACAATGAAGAATAAGAATATAAAAAATGATGAAAGACAACAAGGGAAAACATTCCAAAACATATACAATAACAATGCAGTAATTTGCCTTTGCACTCAATTTTAGAATCACTCTTGTTTCTTAACCTTTAAGCTTTCCATACACTTGTACCTCATGACTGCTCTCTACTCTTAGTGTTGAAATATTTCATAAGCCACCAAATCAATAGGACTTTAAAGCTTGTGATGTAACAGGTGGGTATGAACAAAAATAAAATAGTATCAGGGTAGGTAGAAAATAAAAAAGGGATAGTACAATTATGCATAGTCCCTAAACCTTATCTTTTGATATTCTCAATACTATT